TACCCCCACTATACGAAATATGCTGAGAAAATAAATAAAAATAAATTAAATAAAATAAAATCTCCAGCTTATAATTTGGATCTATGTCTAAGCTTCTCCGATTCTAGTCTCATATTTATCATGTATTTCGCTAATAATTGCTGGCGATTCTTGCAAAATCCCCTATATGCGCGTGTAGGTTTTAACGAATAAGTAATCATAAACTATACGAGTTCCAACCCAGAGAGCCAACGAACTGGCAAAAACGCATGGAAATGATAACCGCGAGATAAATCTACTTTTGCTTCTTCTATTCGCCGTTTATTATAGCTGCGTAAACCGTCGCTCCAAACTCTAATGAATTTCTGATGCCTAACTTAAGTTTGGAATAGTCATGAGCAATATAGCTCTTATCTTAGTCTGTCCAGCTTCATGTTAGTTTATGTTGTATTCTCTTTTTGTGGAGTTTTATGAACAGCGCGTACTGGTTATGAGACAGATACTACTCACTTTCCGGTGCCCAAGGCCATGAGAGGAAGCTGGACAGAACACGCAAGATGCCGTGGCAAGTCTCATGCACCGTGAGACCTAGCTCACAGGAATTGCGACTCTAATATCTCCTGGGAGGGCTCAAGCAATCCTCCTGCCCTCATGAAAGCCGTCCCTGATATCTAGCTGGGCCCAATATACTACAAGTCTAATGTACCTCACCCGATGCCCAGGCCATAGAATTTTTCTGAAAATTGGAGGCAGACTAGACGTAGATATATACAAGTTGGCCAAGAGCATGAAGCATTCATTTCCTAAAGCATGCAATAATTAAAGTCAGTAGATGACAGGGTAATTAGCTGCGTCTGCTCAGGCTGCTTTTGAACTCCAGACTAGCCCTAGTATCGACTGAGCCTAGTCCTTCCTGCCTCTGTGGGATTATGCTGATGAGGACAACCTAATCTCCGTCAGAGATAAGCTAGGGTCATAGGTATTAGCTTAAGGCCTGAGAAGCAGGCCGCTAACGCACACCTGTAGAGACACACTGCTATTCTACATTCAACCCTCCATCTCAATCTTTGTTGATAGGGTATGAGCAACATTGAGGAAGACTATTTGAACGAACTCATCTTATAATTACGATGGAAACTTTCCCAGGCCTTGCTTCAAGGTCAAATTCGCTTCCGATTGGCCTCAGGCTGCTCTTGAACTCCTGATAGCTCATAAATGACAAGTTTCCACAGACCTATGAGACTACTGCCCAGGAAGTCGCTCAGGATTACAGGCCGTGAGCCACCGAATGCTGGCCGACCCTCAATGAGTTATTTTTGTCCCACAGAACAGTTTTTCATTTTATCCATTTATTCCTTTGAATCCTTTTTCCCCCCCTTCCATATCTCATGCCCTTTACCAGTTCCCTGTATTCACTTCCTAGATATGTCAGTTATAACCTAGAGTGAGAGCTATTTTGGGGCAAATGGGAAATTGCATTTTTAATATACTACTAACCCAGGAAATCTTTAATTGGGATGGGAGCCACACTAACTGATTTTACATAAATTTTCCAATATTTGGAAACATGAATTTGCATAAATTTTCCAATATTTGTGTATTTATCATTTGGCTTTGTTCTCTCTAAACTTACTTTTCTGCTTTTCCTCCCTATGTTCAGCTCCTAAACTTAAAATGACTAACTGAATGGTTTCCATTCATTCTTGTGAACAGGACATTTGATATTTGTATTAGCTTACTTGTACAAAAAAATTACCGCAATTAATTCTGGTAAATTTCACATTCCTACCTTTATATTGCATCTTAGAATTACAAACTTATGCATTTTCCTAAAATTTTCATCACTTTGCCTAACATGGTGTCATTTTGATAGCTTGCCCTTTTTCCCGTCCTTTTTTTTCTGGGGTCCTTTAAGATTTGCACACTTGCATCTTTAAGGGAGGGTTAACAATTCTTTTAAATTGGCCTATTTTTCAGTGGCTTTTGAAGAATGGCTCACAAAATTTTCATAGTTGGAGTATTCTACTGTATGATGTATTTACCTTTAAATATCTAGTGAGAGTGAAAATGTTTTGACCTCAAGTTAGAAGTTATGGAGAAGATACACAGGGAAGTTTCTATAGACCCATCTCTTCTTAGTCCTTGGTTCAGGGGGCTATACACACAGATGTGGAGTCAGCTGAGCGAGGTTGCTCAAGTCTATCTACTATTTTTTAGTTGTTGCCTTGACAGGGGTCCCTGCTTCTTAGCAAAAATCTGAGAGAAGCTGCATGTGTCATTTTATTTTATTTTATTTTGAGGCAGAATCTCACTTTGTTGCCCAGGCTAGAGTGAGTGCCGTGGCGTCAGCCTAGCTCACAGCAACCTCAAACTCCAGGGCTCAAGCTATCCTCCTGCCTCAGCCTCCAGAGTAGCTGGGACTACAGGCATGCGCCACCATCCCCGGCTAATTTTTTCTATATATATCGGTTGGCCAATTAATTTCTTTCTATTTATAGTAGAGATGGGGTCTCGCTCAGGCTGGTTTTGAACTCCTGATCTTGAGCAATCCGCCCACCTTGGCCTCGCAGAGTGCTAGGATTACAGGTGCGAGCCACCGCGCCTAGCCAAGAAGCTGCAGTTGTCATAGCCTTCTAAAACCTACTAGTTAGCTGCAAGATGGACCAGAGAGAGCTACAGAAAAAAATGACAGGATGATGATAAAAATCTAAATGCTTTTAATTATGTGAAAATTCTTCTGGTCACAAATTTTCCCTGATAGCAGCTCAATGTGTGCAAGAGATAGATCAACTAAGGCTAAATGCATATTTTTCAGAGACATAAAAGTAACTTAATAAATAGAAATTCCATGTTGACTGTCCTATTCTCTCTTCTTCTTCTTCTTCTTTTTTTTTTTTTGCAATTTAGTTTTGCTAAATCTATATCAGCTCCTAGAAGGCCTGAGGATTCTGTGACTTCTAAAATCAACATAGGCTTCTATACCTGCGTAGGGCTGTGAGCACAGATTAGACATCCATATAGTACTTTGGATTGTGCTAGAAGCTGTGGAGATACTCTTTTAAGGTCGTGGTTGGGTAGCTTGAAAAATTTATGAAACACTTTATACTTTGAGCAGAGACTCAAGTCTGGTTTCTCTCCTTTTTTTGGGGTCAACTTCTTAAAAAAATCCGCATATCACCGTTGAAAGTTTCCTTGGAAGATATCTAGTTAGTCTAAAGAATTTTATACTTTGCATTATAGACTCTTAGGAAGTCTATTTGGAAGGAACCATAAAGATAATTTATTCCAACTACTCAGTGTTTCCAGTCTCCACTGTAGCATTACCACTCAATAATGATGCAGCCTTAAACTCCTGCTTAAACTCTTTTGGGGATCCCACTTCCTCTTATTCCTGAGATAAAATTTGTCACCTTGCACCTTTCCATTCACTGCTCTGATTTCCATGGGGCCATACAAAATATTCTAATTCATGATCAACCTTCATATATTTGAAAATAATTCTCATTGTTTCCTTATATGTTTTTATTTCCCACCCCCACACCCTCAGCTGAACTGTGCAAACTCCTGCTCACTTGTGTCTTTCTTTCCTGAAGGCACTTTTGTTTATCCATATCCCATGACAGAACCAAATGTAATATTCAGGGTTTGGGCTACTCAGCACAGAAAAGAGTAGAATAAAAATAAGAACTACACTTTTAAAACAAACTAAAGTTGATTATTTTTGGAAGGCGCATCCCATAGCTACTTACTTGTGTTTCTATATTCTGCCTACTTAATTTCCTTCTCCTAGGTACCTATCTTTGTACAGTGCTCCCTACAAGCTCCTCGGTCATCTCCAACTACATTGTAGCAACTACAATGGTCTCTTTCCATCCTTATTTTCTTTGAAGTCTTGGCTATATTTTACCATCTACTCTTCTTGAAACTCTCATATTCCTTAATTATTGGAACATTCCATTACCCAGGTTTTCCTCGCATCTTCCTATGCCTTAGTTAACTTTCTTCTTCAACCTATTACATATAAAAGGCTCAGTTCTTGGACTTCTGCTTTTGCTAGCCCTGTACTTTCTCTTTTGGAGAACTCATTTACGGCTTCAAGTGTTACCTCTGCTTGTCTAACTCCAGGCCTCTCTTGAATGACAAGTATTACTGCTTATCCCCTTAAACGCAGCAATTTGTTATTCTCTCCCCGTCCCATAAACTAGCTCCTAGTTTGTTAGTGATTTTCTGTCACCTGGTTTCAAAAGTTACGAGGTCATCAATTGTTTTTACCTTTACTCCTATGCAGCCAGTCATCATGAAGTAGTGATTCTTCTTTGAAAAAACATATCTATCTCTTCTATTTATTTTCTTTCCATCACTTACTCCAAGCACCTCTTAACTAGATTTACTACCTATGATTGTTTCTCTTCTTCAGTCTATTTTGCACTATCACAAGATTAATATTTTTTTGTAATGCAAACTTATTCACTTCACTCTCCGTCTCAAATACCCCAGAAAGCTTCCAGGTGCCCAAAGGTAAAATATAAATTCATGCTTTGTTTTTCAAGTTTCTTCACATCTTCCTTTTCAGAATTACACTCCAGAATGCCTCCCATGAGTCTGCTGCAACCACAAAATTTCCTGCTGCCCCTAGAGCAGGGCACGACAGCCCTGGCGCCCTCTGCCTTTCTTGCACGCTTCCTACTTCCCTCAGCACATCAACATCTTGGCCATTTTTTGAAACATGTCATGTTCCACTACTACCTTTCCCATGAAACTACCCCTTTACTTTTTCATCCCAAAATGGATATTGTCCCTCTTAATGACTTTTTTGACACTTAGATTTACTTCTTAAAAAAATTGCCATGTATGCATATATCCACATATATGTTTCAAGCAACTTGATTGCAGGCACTCTGACTTGTATTTTTCTGTATACCCTTTATTGCTAGAACAGCACCTTGCAACTATGGCCTGCCATGAGGAGTTATTGGTTAATTGGTTGGGAAAGCTATCATAGACATACTTGTCAAAGGAAATTGTTATGCATTTCTTTAATTAAAGTGTTTTACCTAGTGTTTTACCCCAAATAAAACAAATATTTGGAATCTGAGTATTGTGGCTCAGAAGTCTAAAAATGGCGAAACTTTTGAAGAGCAGAAACTCTGCAGATATAAAAATTAAAGGGATTTTATAATTATAATCCATTTAGGCAATGGGTGGAGGATGGGAATCATAATGACCATTTGGCTTATGGGGCTTCCTTTTATTTACCCTTTCTGTTTTACTTTGTTCACTAGCTTCACTCTCCTTTTCTTAAGCTTCCTGTCCTTGTTGTATATTTGCCTCAGTCTCCTTTTCTTGGGCTTCCTGTCCTTGTGGTACATTTGCTTCACTCTCTTTTTCTTGGGCTTCCTGTCCTTGTTGTATATTTGCCTCACTCTCTTTTTCTTGGGCTTCCTGTCCTTGTTGTACACTTGTCTCACTCTTCTTTCCCTGGGCTTTCTGTCTTTTTGGTACATCCGCTTTTTTGGGGGATGCCTGTCTTTCTGGTACATCCACCTCACTCTTCTTTTCTTGGGCTTCCTCTCCTTGTGGTACACTCGCCTCACTCTCCTTTTCTTGGGCTTTCTGCCTCTTTGGTGCACCCGCTTTTTTTGGAGATGCCTGTCTTTCTGGTACACCCACTTCACTCTCCTTTACGTGGGCTTCCTGTCCTTGTTGTGCACTCACCTCACTCTCTTTTTCTTGGGCTTCCTGTCCTTGTACACTCGTCTCACTCTTCTTTCCCTGGGCTTTCTGTCTTTTTGGTACACCCGCTTTTTTGGGGGATGCCTGTCTTTCTGGTACGTCCGCCTCACTCTCCTTTTCTTGGGCTTCCTGTCCTTGTGGTACACTCGCCTCACTCTCCTTTTCTTGGGCTTCCTGTCCTTGTGGTACACTCGCCTCACTCTCCTTTTCTTGGGCTTCCTGTCCTTTTGATACACCTGCCTCGCTCTTCTTTTCTTGGGCTTTCTGTCTTTTTGGTACACCTGCCTCACTCTTCTTTACTTGAGATTTTTGTCCTTTAGGTAAAACCGCCTCACTGTTCTTTACTTGGGCTTCCTGTCTTTTTAGTATTCCAGTGTCTCTTTCTACCTTGATCTCCATTCCTTTCTTGTCTTTCTCTAAATCAGTGACTTTTGCTTTTTTTTTTGGCTCCTTTTGGTGTGTTGATTTCAAGGATTTATCAGAATCTCTAAATATAACTTCATTCTTTGATGTTTCCTTGTTTTCTTCTTGGCTATTCTGAGGACTTGCAGGACCTCCACTTTTTAGAATCGGGGCTTTGGACTCTGATTTTTTTGCAAGTTGTTCATCCGAGTAACCTGGAAATACAACTGATCATACAAGAAAAGTGCATGATTCAGATGTCAAGTATTTTCTCTTTATTTCTACTTTCCCTTTATATTGGTTTCTTTTTTTGTCTTAAAATTAATAAACAGGAGGTAACTTGAGATTTTCCTGTTATCTAAGATGGGGGATCTCTACACATAAAATTACAGAAGTATTGATAAAATTCTAGACTCTTTTCAATAAGTTAGAAGACTAATAAGAGAAAAGATACAATACACTATAAATGAAGTGACATTTGTTGAATAGATTAGGGCTAATGAATAATGCTTAGTGGCTAATGGAAGATGTATTTTGAAAAGAAATAGAATTTATTTTAAGGAAAAATTGTGGGAAGAAGGAATAATTATTTCTTAAAATAGAAGAAGAAAGCTTAAATATGCTATTAATATTGAATAAAAGCATATTTAACTATGCAAAAGTAACAACAGTACTAGTTAATAATTATTAAGTGCTTACCATATACTAGGCACTCGTTGTTTTGAGCATTTTGCATATTAAATCTAGCTGGTGACCTTGGGCAAAATTTACTGTTTTTGTCTATAAATGGGGGCAGGAGTAGTAGCTACCACAAAGAGGTGTTATCTAAATAAAGCACTCAGTGCAGTGCCTGGAACATAAGTAGCCAGTAAACATTGGCCATTACTACTACAAAATGAGATAGTATAAGAAAAACTCTGATCCAGTCAAGACAAGGCATTCTTAGTTCCCAAAACATAATTTGGAGGAGTGGTTAATTGTATTGCAGGAACACTTTTTGCTTAAAAATTAATTATTAGACTTTTTGTGCTTTACATTTAGGGTTTGATGCTTAAAAAATTGGCATACACATAAAGAACATTATCAGTTGTAAAAATGAGGCACCCCTGTATAAGGTAAGAAACTAATTATGGCTCAAAAGGGATATTATAATTCAGTGTTTACTGGTGCTTTCTTTTTTTTTATTTTAAGCTTTTGACATCAAGATAAAAATAACATTAGAAACCTTGCAGTAATGCTTTCTGAACCCTTTTTTATATTTCCCCCAATGCTTTTCATTAAAATATGAGGCCTGACATTTTATATTAGACAAGCCAATTTCTAAGTTTATAATGAAAATCAGATGTAACATAGCCCAAGCATTGCTGAATTAAGAAAGATAGCAAAGAATATTTTGATCTTTGACAGTGCTACCACTGGACACTGTTTTGTTTTGTTTGGGGGTATAGTGTGGTGTGAAATGATGTGAAGAAGAGCATGTTTTTCCATTGAAGCTTCTAACCTCAAGAATTTTATGGAATGTATTCCTCAAACAAGCTGATTTTTCTTACTATATGAATCTTTTTAGTTTTACCATCTCTGGGGGTAATTGTTTATTACTGTGTAACACTGCATAACCCATTTTAACCTAAGTTGCTTTTACCCTCTAAATTGTATAGATTTGTTAACCAAAATTAAGTATTCTAGGATTTCATGAAACACTGTTTATTTTTAACTATAACTTCCCTAATTTCATAGAATTAAAAAATTTTATTATTTTTCCTATTGCCCTGAAAAATACCTTTAGTCACTTCTAATAGTATCTTCATACCCTTGATTATTTAAATATCTTTGATGTTATTTTTTTTATCTTGAACTTAATTAACATAGATTAAATTTGCTAGGATTTATTTTTTAGGGAGCTACATATCTCATAGTGAGGTTCACTTTTATTTCAACTTTGCATTGCAGAAGTAAGCCACGAATCATTATTCTATCACATTCTAAGTTCCTCTCTTCCTTCTCCCAGATTTCAAGATAGTGCATAAATATATTCTTTCCTTTGACCTCATAATCATCCTAGATTTACAGTGTAAATCTTCATAATATAAAGATTTGTAAGCCCTGGCTAGAAGTCCATTTATTGCAGGCACCAGTCCATACAAAAAAATTCTAATACAATTAAAAGATTTAATCAAGACTTTGGGGATCATTGCAACATAGGCTTATTAAAATTTAACTATTAAAATTTTTAAATTGGATTAATTTTTGTTAAAGCTAAAAGAAAGCTTTAACAGCTATCTGTTTAATAGCTTTACTAACTACTTTACAGCTAGCTATCTGTCTTTAATAGCTATCACATAAATAATCCTAATCATATGATACTTAATGTAGAAAATGGAACATGAGCTTTATTAGGAAACTAATCTTAGGTGCTTAATCTAGTGGTTGGCAGGAAGAGCACAGTCAGATCTAGACTCTAAAAGATCTGTTAAGCACCAGAGAGATGAATCATTATGGCTTTCAGGCCATAAATTACATTTTAAAAGATCATATACTAATTAGCTGAATGTGGGGGTGAGAAATAAGAGACTCAGCTTGAGAGGATGACAATGTTTGATGGTCTTATCTGTCTTAAATCTTTCTTTGATCATTGAATTAAACCTTAACCTCATTTTTCTAAAAATATCAGTTGGAATGAATGTGTTTGAAAGAATATATCAATAAGATATCTTTTATAAGAAAAAAATTTAAAAAATTAAATGGATTTTTCCTGGTAACTTAAAAAAATTAGTATTCATTAAACACTGATTTACCTCTAGGAAGAGACTTGGCCTGTGATTCCTTCTCAGAGCCCTTGTATTAGTTAGGGTTCTTCTGAGTCAAGCTGACACATAAAATTAACCATCACGGCCCTCTTTCTTTTGTCAGGGAAACACACACGATACAGTCCTGTCCTTTTCCTATGTGGGGAGGACATTTGAGGGATGTAGGCACATCATGACTGCTCTGAATGCAACTGTGTCTTGTACTGTGAAGCAAAAGAAGATAATTGCTCCTTTCAACTTCATCTCACTGCCCTCCCCGCCCCGCCCCTTTCTGGCGTGAACTGAGAAAGAAGAATGGGGCTTAAACATTATTAAATATAAAGACATGTGTTGTGTTTGTCACTGTTTTGAATGTTTGAAATTGTGTCCTACCACATTTAAGTCTTACTGTTTCTTATGATTATGTATTTAAAGAATTAAAAAACTTATTATTCTATTTTATTTGATGTGGTTTCCTTGAAGAGCTGAGCCATACATTAAATAATCCCTGATATAGAGAAATCCATATTTAGAAGACAGTTAAAAGTCAAACATTGATTTAAATGGAAAGTCTTTTATTTTTAAAAGGATTCTTTTGTGCACATTTGATTATCTAGCTTCTCTAGTAGATGTATATTTTTTTATGAACATTTGATTTATAGATAAGTTTCCATGACTAATCCCAAGAAAGGCATTCGTGATTCAGTATAGGAGGCAATGTGTTGGGGTGGAAAGTGTATGTATTTCAGAGACAGAAAGACCTGGCTTGAAGTCCTGACACTGATGTTTACCAACTCTTTAACCCTGGGCAGATATCTGAGTTAGTTTCCTGATCTGTAAAATGGGGGATAATAGCTACCAGGCAGGGCTACAATAAGAATAAGAGATAATAAGAGATACTATTTTTGAAAGTGCCTAGCCCAGTGCACAGTATATAGTAGGTGCTCAATAACTTCTTTTTAAAACTTTTTTCTTTTTCTTTTTTCTTTTCATTTTTATTTTATTTTGAGACAGAGTCTCACTTTGTTGCCCAGGCTAGAGTGAGTGCCGTGGCATCAGCCTAGCTCACAGCAACCTCAAACTCCTGAGCTTAAGTGATCCTCCTGCCTCAGCCTCCCGAGTAGCTGGGACTACAGGCATGTGCCACCATGCTCGGCTAATTTTTTGTATATATATTTTTAGTTGGTCAATTAATTTCTTTCTATTTTTAGTAGAGACGGGTCTCGCTCAGCCTGGTTTCAAACTCCTGATCTTGAGCAATCCACCTGCCTCGGCCTCCCAGAGTGCTAGGATTACAGGCCACCACGCCTGGCCACTTTTTTCTTTTTAAAAAATGGATTCCAGGCCGGGTGCAGTGGCTCACGCCTGTAATCCTAGCACTCTGGGAGGCCGAGGCGGGTGGATTGCTCAAGGTCAGGAGTTCGAAACCAGCCTGAGAAAGAGCGAGACCCCATCTCTATTATAAATAGAAAGAAATTAATTGGCCAACTGATATATACAGAAAAATTAGCCAGGCATGGTGGCGCGTGCCTGTAGTCCCAGCTACAGGGGAGGCTGAGGCAGGAGGATTGCTTGAGCCCAGGAGTTTGAGGTTGCTGTGAGCTAGGCTGACTCCATGGCACTCACTCTAGCCTGGGCAACAAAGTGAGACTCTGTCTCAAAACAAAACAAAACAAAACAACAACAACAACAAAATGGATTCTTGCTCGGTTGTCCAGGCTGGAATGCAGTGGTGTGATCATAGCTCAATGCAGCCTTAAACTCCTGGACTCAAGTAATCATCCCACCTTAGCTTCTGGAGTAGCTGGGACTATAGGTGTAGACCACCAGGCTTGTCTAATTTTTAAAGTTTTTTTAGAGAGGAAGGTCTCACTACATTGCCTGAGCTGGTCTATGGATTCTTGGCCTCTAGTAGTCCTTCCACCTCAGCCTGCTGAGTAGCTGGGATTACAGGTGCAAACCACTGCACCTGTCTAGTGCTCAATACCTTCTGTCTATCAAAGGTATTTAGAAGACAACAGAAAGTTGATGAGACTTTGTTCTTAACGAGGTTTTTTTTCATAATAATATGACTCAAAAGGCCTTCACTTATAATTAAAAAAAGTTCTAAATTCCCAACAAAGAACTAATGGAATTCAGAAACTAATCTTTCTTTCATTACATTTTGCTGAGAGTCATGGAGGAGATTCTTTTTCAGAAGATGACCAGAGATTGTGATATTCTTTCATCTGAACTTCATCTTCTCTACAGAAATCTCTCCAAAAATAGTTTAAAATCTTGGAAGGTTCTGGAGAATAGGAACATTTAAAATGACTTTAGAAGGCCTCTATTTTGGTAGTAGAAATGGCCAGGCCAGAAAATAATTATAAGCAATATAAAACATCAGAGTTGAGAATAGATAAGGAACTTACCCATAGGAGATAGTGCTAAAAACAAAACGCAAAAGAAAGTGGGGATTTTCTAACTCAAGGATAATCCACCTTCTAATGATACCCTTTCTAGGTGAATGAAGAAACAGGACCTCCATTGGATATAAAACTCTCTGTGCCATCCTTAAGAGTGCTGTGGCCAAAGATCCACATCCCACTCCACAGAGAGGGTTATCTTTAGGGTGTCATTTAGTTAATGTAAGGATTTGGGCAGGTAATATCAATTTTACCAACATTCAAGCTACTGCATTTCCTACTTTTCTTTGTTCTTTCAGCTTTTTATCCACTCTCTCAGTCAGTTTGAAAAATGTGTATTTTTAGTCAATTACCAAAATCATCATCTTGTCCTGACATATATTCTTTATGTCAATCTTAGGGGATTTTCTTTTTTAGTAAAAAGTATCAGATTCCAGATTAAAGCACAGAGAAAATAGGCTCTGTTGTAATAGTGTAGCTGGGACTATATATTACCAATAATGTATGGTAGTAAATAACTAGAATCAAATACAAGACCATTATATCTTGTTACAAAAGGAAAATAGATAAGAACAATCAAAATGACATATGAGGAAATCACTTATTTAAGAAATATTGACTGTTTGAAAGGAAAAGAACTTGTAATACAAGAAAATTTAGGAAGAACTCAAAGGTCCTAGATAGGTAAGGCAAAAAAATGATCCAGACTTACCAATTTTTCCAGAACTTTCCACTGAAAGAGACAAAGGCAAAAACATCAGTGGGTATTAGGCTTTCCCTTCTTCTCAATCCCCAAACCTTCGCACTGGGTAGAATTTGTGACATTAACAACTTAGTTTCATTTATTTAAATATGAGGAACCTTCATGTCCCTTTCACTTTCTCTTAGCTTGTTGTAGTTTAGAAAGACCTTGTGGTAAGCTACTTTTAATCACCTTTACTTTTCATTAATCATTAGCAGTTTTGTATAAAGTGTCAAGATTATGATTTATAAAATACAGGATGTATATGGTCCTACTTAGAAGATGTGTGCTAACACTATTCACTGACATTGTTTGATATGAACTATTTGAGGTACAATTGTTGCCAGGTACTGGAACATGAGTGGATCTCTGATGTTGATGTTACTTGATACACCTAGCATCTAAAGCACAAAATAATCAGAAAGCATGAAACTGTGAGAGGCATAATACCTGCATTGTTTACTAGAGATAAATATGTGGAGTTAGGGCATTAAACCCTAGAGCAGAAGTTGGCAAAGTACTGTCCATGGAACAAATTTAGCTTGTTGGCTATTTTTGTATGTCCTGTGAAGTAAGACTGGATTTTACGTATTTAAATTGTTGAAAAAAATATTTTGTGACATGTGAAAATTATATAAAATTCAAATTTCAATGTGTACAAATAGTATTTTATTGGAACATTCTAAGCTCATTCTTTTACCTAATGTCTATGACTGCTTTTGTGCTACAACAGCTGAGTAGTTGTGACAAAGACTTTGTGGCTTATAAAACTTAGAATATTATCTGGCTCTTTATAGAAAAAGTTTTCCCACCCAAATCTTAGAAGAAACTAAAGTACTAGAAATAGATTAGGAACTTACTAGTGTGTACTTGAGGCATTCCTGAAAATCAAAATAAGAAGATAGGTTAACGGTAGTATTTTTGGATCAGAAACACAGTTCTTCCCTACTCCCATTTTCCCAATTCTTTTTTCTGGGGTACTATCAAGACCTCTAGCAGGGTACAGTGAGATACAGTGGGACGGCTCAGTGCGTTATAAGAACCTGTTACTATTCACCACCTTTATGACTCTTGCTGTGGTCCAAGTTACTGTCATTTCTCTAATTGCTCTCTCTGCTGTCGCCCTTGTTTCCCAGTGTAGTACAGCACCTAGAGGGACCCTTTCAAGGTGATAGACTCTGATAACAATTTTTTGTTATCTTGCTTTAGCCAAAGTCAAAGTCATTATAGTGGCTTTCAAGGAAGGCCCTAGAAGATCCATCCTCCCATAGCTCTCTGATAGCTTCTTTTCATGTCACTTTTATTTTATTTTTTTCTTTTCGTTTTATTATTATTAGTTTTAGAGGTAGGGTCTCACTCATGGTAATAGCTCATTGTGGCCTTGAACTCCCAGGCTTAAGCAATCCTCTTGCTTCAGCCTTCTGAGTAGCTAGGACTACAGGCACATCACCATGCTCAGCTACTTTTAAAACTTTTGTTTTAGACATGGGGGCTTGCTATGTTGTCCAGCTTGTCTTGAACTCCTGGCCTCAAGACATCCTCCCACCTTAGTCTTCCAAAGTGTTGGGATCACAAGGGTAAGGCACCACATCTAGACCCCATGTCACTTTTCATTTTGATCCAGCTATATGATACTTGCTTTCTTGCTTTTCTTCAAATAGTCTGGAAACATTCCTGCCCTAGGATGGTTTACTTGTTATCTCCTGTGATTGTAATATTCCCCCCTCAGATATCTGCATGGCTATTTCTCCTACCTCTCCTACCTCTTCATGTTCCATCTAGTAGTTCTATCAGTTGCTGAGACTTGGGTTTTGAACTTTCCAACTACAGTTGTGGGTTTTTCTATTTCTCTTCAGTTTTTGTAGGTGTTTTTTCCCATTTATTTTGAAGCACTGTTCTTTGGTACATACACTTCTATGATTTCTATGTTTTCTAGATATACTGATCTTTTTATCATAATGTTATGTTCCTCTTTGTTCCTGGTAATTTTCTTTGCAATATGTGACATTAATATAGCCACTTCTGCTTCTTAAAAAACTTGATGCTTTCATGGCTTATATTTATCATTCTTTTTACTTTTGTTGTTAAATTTGAAGTGAGTTTCTTGTAGATAGCGTATATTTGGGTCATGGTTTTTATGTACTCTTTTAATCTTTGTTTTTTAATCGGTATATTTACATGAAAATATAAAACTCAGATATCTTATAAAACAATCACACAAACAAGGAAGAGAAAGGACTCTAATGGCAACATGACAGAATTTCATTAAACCACAAAGAGAAAAAGAAAGAAACAATTTATAAAACAACTAGAAAACAATTAATAGTATGATAGGAATAAAGCCTCACATATCAATCAACATTAACCTTGAACATAAATGGGTTAAATGCATCACTTAAAAGATACAGATTGGCAAAATGAATAATAAAATAAAAACTCAACTATGTACTGCTTAGAAGAAACTCATCTTGCCTGTAAAGACACACATAGACTGAAAGTAAAGCAGTAGAAAAAGGTAATCCACAAAAAGTGAGCAGGAGGAGTCATACTTTTATAAGATAAAACAGACTTTAAGTCAAAAATGGTAAATAAGACAAAGAAGGCCACTGTATAATGATAAAGGGATCAATTCAGCAAGAGGATATGACAATTGCAAATATATATGCACTCAACATTGGAGTATTCAGCTTCACAAAACAAATATTACTAGACTTAAAGAAAGAGATAGACAGTAATACGATAATAGTGGGGAACTTCAGTACCCTACCCACAGAACTAGACAGATCACTGAAATAGAAAATTAACAAAGAAACACTGGACTTCAATTGGACTATAGACCAAATGGTCTTAACAAACATTTATAGAACATTCTACCCAATAACTACAGAATATACATTCATTTCACCAGCATGTGGAACATTTTCTAAGATAGACTGCATTTTAGACCACAAAATAAGTCTCAACAAATTTTTAAAAGTTGAAATCATATCACGTGTCTTATCAGACCATAGTGAAATAAAGCTAGATATCAATATGAAGAGGAACTTCAGAAACTATGCAAATACATGGAAATTAAACAACATGCTCCTTCATTGACTCGGTCAATGAAGTAATTAAGACAGAAATTTAAAAATTTTTTGAAATGAATAAAAAATGAAAACACAACTTACCAAGTACTGTGGGATATAGTAAAAGCGATGCTAAGAGGGGAGTTTATACCATTAAATAACTACACCAGAAAGTAGAAAGATCACAAATTAACAACCTAACATCCCACCCCAAGGAACTAGAAAAACAAGAACAAACTAAGCTGAAAGTTAGCTGAAGAAAAGAAATAACAAAGATCAAAGCAGAACTACATGGAATAGAGACCAAAAATAAATAAATAAATAAACAATCAATGAAACAGAAAGTTGATTCTTTAGAAAGATGAACAAAATTAATAAACCATTGAGCAGACTAACCAAGAAAAGAAGAGAGAAGATCCAAGTAAAATCAGAAGTGAAAAAAGAGACATTGCAACTCATACCACAGAAATGCAAAAGATCATCTGGGACTATTATTAACAGCTATACTCTCACAAACTAGAAAACCTAGAGGAAAGGGATAAATTCCTAGAAACATACAACCTCCCATGATTGAACCAGGAAGAGATAGAACTGAACAGACCAATAATGAGTAGTGACAATGAATCAGTAATAAAAAATCTTCCAAGGAAAAAAAAGTCCAGGACCAAATTGATTCACATCCAAATTCTACCAAATATACAGAGAACTAATACCAACTTTCCTGAAACTGTTACAAAAACTCAAGGTGGAAGGAATATTGCTTAACTCATTCTATAGCAACACCAGCCAAGGACATACCACCACCAACAAAAAGAAAACTACAGACCAGTATCCCTGATGCACATAGATGGAAAAATCCTCAAAAAATGCTAGCAAATCAAATTCAACAGGACATTAAAAAACTAGTACACCACGATCAAATGAGTTTTATACAGGGGATGCAAGGATGGTTCAACATATGACAATCAAAAAATTTTATAATCACATGAATAGAATTATGGACAAAACCCATAAGATCTCAGTAGATGCATAAAAACCATTCAATAAAATTAATCATTCCTTCATCATAAAAATCCTAAAAAACTAGGCATAGAAGGACCATACTTCCAAATAATAAAGGCCATATGTGACAAACCCACAGCCAACAATATAGTTAATGGGGAAAATGTTCAAAGCATTCCCCCTAAGAATTAGAACAAGACAAGGATGCCTGCTTTTGCCACTTATTCAACACTGTACTGGAATTCCTTACCAGAGCAGTCAGGCAAGAGAAAGAAATAAAGGTCATCCAGTTTGTAAAATAGAAAATCAAATTATTCCTGTTTGCTGATGATACCATCTTATATCTAAAAATCCTTAAGGCTCCACCAAAAGTCTCTTAGATTTGATAATGAATTTAGTCAAGTTTCAGGATACAAAATCAATGTATAGAAATCAGTGACATTTATATACACCAATAATGATCTAGCAAAGAACCAATTCAAGAATACAGTTTCAGGATGGGTGCAGTGGCTCAAGCCTATAATCCTAGCACTCTGGGAGGCCAAGGTGGAAAGATCACTTGAGCCCAGGAGTTTGAGACCAGCTCGAGCAAGAAAAAGACCCCGTCTATTCCAAAAATAGAAAAATTAGCCAGGTATAATGGCACATGCCTATAGTACCAGCTATTGGGAGGCTGAGGCAAGAGGTTTGAGGTTTGAGATTGCAGTGAGCTATGATGATGCCACTACACTGTAGCCCAGGTGACAAGAGTGAGATTCTGTAAATCTCATTTACAATAGCTACCAAAAAAGAAAACAAAAACATGAAAAACATATTTAACCAAGGAGGTAAAAGATTTCTGAAAGGAAAACTTCAAAACACTGATGAAAGAAATTGTAGATGACACAAACAAATGGAAAAGCATTCAGTGCTCAGGATCAAAAGCATTAATATCATTAAAATGAACATACTGCTCAAAGCAATCTACAGGTGCAATATAATCCCTATAAAAATACCAATGTCATTTTTCACAGAATTAAAGAAAGCAATTCTAAAGTTCTTATGGAACCAAAGAAGAGCCCCAATAGCCAAAGCAATCTTGCACAAAAAGAACAAAGTTAGAGGCACCACATTGCCTGACTTCAAATTATACTAGAACTCCCTAGTAACCAAAACAGCATGATAATGGTATAAAAATAGACACATAAATCAATGGAGCAGACTAGAGAACCCAGAAATAAAACCACATACTTACAGCCAAGTGATCTTTGAAAAAGTTGGCAAGAACATACATGGGGGAAAGGACATCCTTTTTCGCAAATGTTGCTGGGAAAATTGTATTGCCATACGCAGAAGAATGAAACTAGATCCCTATCTCTCATCATATACAAAAATCAACTGGATATGAATTAAAGAGTTGAATGTAAGACCTGAAACTATAAAAATACTATAAGAAAACTTAGGGAAAACTCCTCTGGACATTAGTATAGGCAAAGAATTCATGATTAATACCTCAAAAGCACAGGCAACAAAAACAAAAATAGACAAATGGCACTTAATTTACCTACAAAGCTTCTGTACAGAAAAAAATATCAACAGAGTGAAGAAACAACCTGAGAAATGGGAGAAAATACATCTGACAGGGGACTAATTTCCAGAATTTATGAAGAACTCAACAACAGTTAAAAAACAAATAACCCCATTAAAAAGTAGGCTAAGGACATGAATAGACATTTTTCACTGGAAGATATACAAATGGCCAAAAAATGTTCAAATCACTAATTAGAGAAATGCAAATTAAAACACAATGAGATATCAACTTACACTAATCAGAATGGCCATTCCTAAAAAGACAGAGAATAACAGATGTTGGTAAGAATGCAGAGAAATGTGAACACTTATATATTGTTCTTGGTAATGTAAATTAGTATAATTGATATGGAAAACAGTATGGAGATTTCTTAAGGAACTAAAAGTAGATCCTGTAATCCCACTCCTGGGTATCTACCCAAAGGAAAAGACATCAATATATAAAAAAGATACTGGTACTTGTATGTTTATTGCAGCACTATTCACAATAGCACAGATTCGGAATCAATTTAAGTGTCTATCAATGGAGGATTGGATAAAGAAAATGTGGTATATATACACAATGGAATAGTATTCAGCCATAAAAAAGAATGAAACTACTTATTTTGCAGCAACATGGATGGAAGTGGAGGCCACTATCTTAAGTGAAACAACTCAGACAGACAAATACTGCATATTCTCACTTATAAGCGGGAGCTAAAAAATGTGTACACATAGAAACAGAGTGTGGAATGATGAACAATGGAGACTTGGAGTTTTGGGGTGTGTGGGGGTGCATGGATGATGGGAGTGGCTTTGTGGGACAATGTGAGTTGTTCCAGTGATGGATACACTGAAGGCCCTGACTTCACTGCAGTGCAATATGTCAATGCATCAAAATTGCACTTGTGCCCCATGAATATACATAAATAAAAAATAAAGGGAAAAAATAAAAAAGGAACTTTTTGGAGAGAGGTATCATTTGTAGAATAATCTTGATTTGAGTTAAATATAGGTTTTTAAAACTTTAAAAATTTGGTGTATTTATGCCCACAGTATTTTTCTTAAATGGAAACACAAATTTTTGTAATATGTGTGCTTATGGTGAGAGACAAGTCCCAAATAAATTCTTTCAAATAGGGAAAGTCAGAAAAGGCTTATTCTCTGGAGCAGTGATGGTCCAAGTTTAAATGTGATAAACTTTATGAAGAAGACAAAGATCCGCCTTTCTCATTTATCTTCAGTTCTATTTTTGTTAGTGCGTCTGTGTTTGCATTTTTTAGTCTGTCCCTCTCTATACTTTCAGTTGCTACATCTTCTCATTTTATTATGTCTACTTTTTATTTTTGGGAATTTTTTTCTGTGACCCTGTAGCTTCATATTGAAATATAAACTTCTTAGTGTATTATTTCCACGATCTTTCCTGTCATCTGACCCCAGGAGATTTTGCCAGCATTGCTTCCTGTTGTTTCTCTTTTGTAACTTAATTATCTAACCAGAAGATAATTTTTTTTCTTTTGTCTTTTCCATGTGGTTTCCTGTTTCTGTGGGCCTTTGACTTACCAAAAAAAACCCCACCCAAATCAAACCAAAACAAAAAACACCACCATCACCACCAACAACCAAAAACAATAACAACAAAATATTTGTAACTGAAAGGAATACTAGAAAATGTAGAGGAAAAGAGATGGAAAACAGCGTGAATCTTAGGGTTCTGAGAGGGTTCTGAGAGGGTTCTGACATGTCAAACACGTCAGTGCCAATAAAGGAACTCACGTCCTACGGAAGACCGGGGGAAACTGAGAAAGACAATATGAACTTACTGGCTGCCATTGGAGCAATTGCTAAAAAGAAAATAAAACAAATTAGTATTTTTTTTTTTATAAAAAACATCCTTGAGGTTAGATGTGTTTCTGAAGACATCATACTTGCCTGTATTTCTTATCCATTCAACCAGGCCTATGTCCTCTTGAGTGGGAGAATTTAAGCCATTCATATTTTATTGAGAAAATTATAG